TGGTGTTATTATATCCAAGTTGTATAGCTGTTGCCAGAGGTGGGAGAAGTACTCAGATCAGTAGAAGAAGATATTGTACTTGAGTAAAAGTAGAAGTACTCAGATCTTGTACTTGAGTAAAAGTAGAAGTACTCATATATTGTACTTGAGTAAAAGTAGAAGTACTCAGATCTTGTTCTTGAGTAAAAGTAGAAGTACTCAGATCTTGTACTTGAGTAAAAGTAGAAGTACTCAGATCTTGTTCTTGATTAAAAGTAGAAGTACTCAGATCTTGTTCCTGAGTAAAAGTAGAAGTACCAGAGTGTAGGAATACTCTGTTTCAGTAAAAGTCCTGCATTCAAAATGTTACTCAAGTAAAAGTAGAAAAGTATTATCATCACAATATAGTTAAAGTAGCGACAGTGAAAGTAGTCATTGTGCAGATTGGTCCATTTCAGAATAATATATATGATATGTTTCAACTCACTTTGCTTCATAAATTGAAACACTTATGTGTCTCTAATAGTGCCACGTTCTTACGGTTAGAGCTCTGATTGATAAATGTCTTAATTTACAACCTGTAGTTTCATGTTGTTGTTATTTAGCCGTTATTTTACAAAGATTTCGCTCCAGTGGTCCCGTAACTTGTTGATTTATTTACGCTCACTACAAAGATTGATTAAAAGCTTATTATAGCTTTGTTTTTTTACATTTGAATGAGCACTAATATTAATAGGCTGATATTTATGTGAACACAGGCTATCCATCATGATTTATGGGGATAAACTGAGCAACTCTATGTGAAATAAGACTTTCCGCACCCCCGTATAGCATGAATGGAATAATCCTCATCTCACTGTGAGTTGGCAATTGAATCAGGTTCCTGAAAGAGTCCCCCCTTAGAAGAATACATCTGATAACTTTAATATGTAATTATATATCATAATCAGTATCAGTGAAGAAACCCACAGTTAATATCATGCTTTAGGATAATTATTACCTGAATTTCAAGCTTTTATAACCTTTTCTTTGTATTATCCGGGCTGTAATTACACTGTTCCTTTTTCCCATACCAGCAAGAAGCTGTTAGCCATAATTAACCCTTTGTACCCAACCTGACGAAGAAGCTGGTGAACAACATAAGTGGAGCAGCTAAAGAGTCACATATATTCAGTGGCGGTTACTAACAAGTGTCTAAATGAGACGACTAAACGTCATCAGGCCCAACATTAGCCTCCTTTAGCTTAGCGGTGGTGACGTGAAGTCATGTGACCGTGCTGTAGTTCCTTTATAGCCCAACATTAGCCACCTTTAGCTTAGCGGTGGTGACGTGAAGTCATGTGACCGTGCTGTAGTTCCTTTATAGCCCAACATTAGCCTCCTTTAGCTTAGCGGTGGTGATGTGAAGTCATGTGACCGGGCTGTAGTTCCTTTATAGCCCAACATTAGCCGCCTTTAGCTTAGCGGTGGTGACGTGAAGTCATGTGACCGTGCTGTATTTCCTTTATAGCCCAACATTAGCCGCCTTTAGCTTAGCGGTGGTGACGTGAAGTCATGTGACCGTGCTGTAGTTCCTTTATAGCCCAACATTAGCCGCCTTTAGCTTAGCGGTGGTGACGTGAAGTCATGTGACCGTGCTGTAGTTCCTTTATAGCCCAACATTAGCCACCTTTAGCTTAGCGGTGGTGACGTGAAGTCATGTGACCGTGCTGTAGTTCCTTTATAGCCCAACATTAGCCACCTTTAGCTTAGCGTTGGTGACGTGAAGTCATGTGACCGTGCTGTAGTTCCTTTATAGCCCAACATTAGCCACCTTTAGCTTAGCGGTGGTGACGTGAAGTCATGTGACCGTGCTGTAGTTCCTTTATAGCCCAACATTAGCTGCCTTTAGCTTAGCGGTGGTGACGTGAAGTCATGTGACCGTGCTGTAGTTCCTTTATAGCCCAACGTTAGCCGCCTTTAGCTTAGCGTTGGTGACGTGAAGTCATGTGACCGTGCTGTAGTTCCTTTATAGCCCAACGTTAGCCACCTTTAGCTTAGCGGTGGTGACGTGAAGTCATGTGACCGTGCTGTAGTTCCTTTATAGCCCAACATTAGCCACCTTTAGCTTAGCGGTGGTGATGTGAAGTCATGTGACCGTGCTGTAGTTCCTTTATAGCCTAACGTTTGCTTTCAAATCTGTCTATTATATTTACGTTTCAACAATTATAGAGTGGCGTTACAAAAAAACGTGTAAATAAATCAAATGTGTGCCACAGATCTTATTTTCAGCAATATTCCAAAATCCCATTGGCTAATTGTAAAGAGAGCCCTTGCAATGCCACCATAGTTATAAGAAAGATATAACACAGGTATAGCAGCTTGGCTGGTAACTGTATGTGAGTTACACTCGACCTGTGGGGGAGAACATGGCAGAGAGCAGCACTTCTAATGGGGTCACCCTCCTCCTCAGTCACAGAGCGGGGGGGGTCTCATGCATGCATGTGCTCAAGATTCAAAGCTTTATTGTCATGTGCACAGCAGCTACAGTGTAGATATTTCAATGAAAATGTGAAGTCACAGGCTCCTCCAACAGAGCAGCATGAATATATATATAGGACATCAAACTAATAAAACAGATGAAATAGTGCCAGAGACTGTTTTGAGATGTGCAAGTCAATACAAATAAAAAATAAATAGTGCAAGAAGAGTCTATATACAAGTAAATGGAATATGATATATTAGATAGATAATTGGCAAGATGCAAACAGATGAATGTTTATGGATGTTCTTTAAAAAGATCAGGTGTTTAATAGTCTTATGGCCTGTGGGATGAAACTGTCCCTGAGTCTGCTGTCAGTATTATGGAATGTTGCGTCGCTGAGACATTCGGAATTATACTCTATATGAGAGAGAAGAGAGATGGCAGAGAAAACAGAAAATATGAGAGAGAGGAGAGAGAGAGAGAAAAAAGAGGAGAGAGAGAGAACAGAGAGAGAGAGAGAAGGAGAGAGAGAGAGAGAGAGCAGAGAAAGAGAAAAAAAGCAAAAATAAGAACAGAGAGGAGATGAAAAAAGAGAGTAGCGAAGAGAGAGACGAGAGAGAGAGCAGAGAGAGTAAGAGAGAAGAAGAGGCGAGAGAGAGAGCAGAGAAGAGAGAGAGACGATGCGAGGAGATAACTAGCTGCGCTCTAAGGTCATCCTCTCACCCCCTCGCTCGTCTCTCTATCACCCCTCTCTCTCTCTCTCTCTCTCTCTCTCGCTCTCTCTCTAGCCTCGTCTCTCTCTTCTTCTTCTCTCTCTCTCTCTCTCTCTCCTTGTCACGTAGCGCCCTGGCTAACGCAGCTGATTGCAGCCTAGATTCCATCTTAATTAAACCTGAACATTAGCGTCCATCAGAGGCCTGTGGAGCCCCTGTGGTCCCCGGGAAAATGTGCAACCATTTAATTTGCTCCCTATGGTGTTGGTCAAATCTAACCTCAGTGTGTGTCCCCTCCCCCCCCCCCCTCACTGCAGAGCCTCTCTAGTCTCTACCTTGGGCCACAATGGACTCTATTATCTGGGGATTTATGACTTAAAGTTTGACTTAATGAGTCACTTTTCACAGTTTGAAACAGTGTAAAGGTTATATTTACGCCTCCATATATCCCACATAAGTAAACAAGACCTTTCTAATCTTATTTGCCTTGGATGTTCAACTCTCACTCCGCAGAGTCGACACCAAGACACTGTTTTTATATTTATCTGCAACACATTTTCCTGTATTTTCACCTTAAAAAGTTTGATAAGAATCAGACAAACAAAGGAATACTAATGAATTCTGACAGTTAGCCAATCACGGTTCAGTATGCAACTTAGAGACTTGAACACAAGGTAATTAAAACGTTTTAGTTAACTCAAAACACATTATAGTTGAGTTTAGTTTATAACTTAATGTTGGTGCTAAACTCCCCTATGTTAGTGTATTAATAAAAACATGAGCGTGTGCCGCCTCCTGCCACGTAAGCCTGTTGGTTTATTATAAATCAGATGATTAATCACCTTATTTTCACTCAAAGGGCTCATGGACATGCAAATCATGTGATTAACTTCATATTTTATGAATACGTTTTTGGGGGTGAAAATAATGTGTGTGCTGGAAAAGGCGTTAAAGAAATACTTCACCCACAAAATGATTTGGAATTAAGTGGCCATATCTGTACTCACTGTGGGCTGATTTTAACTACCATTAGTAGTGTTACGACCTTTGGATATAGAGAGCACAAGATGAACATAATTACCTCTACTGTGGACAATTATTTTTCAAATAAATAAGCAATCCGTTTGGTCCACATCTTCAAAAATCGACCGAAAATGAATGAAAATCCAATACAAATATTGGCATTTTATGGTTAAAACTGCCATGTTTGATCCTGTAAATGTCAGAAATGGACTCAGCATCTCCAATAACCCCCAAAACCGCTACAGAATTGTCCAAATCGGCCAAGCCATTTCTCTTTAGATATTGTCCACATAACGCTGAATTCATGCTAATTGTGCAAAATGCCCAACGTATGCAAGTTAGCATCCGGCAGTTTCTCTGTGCTTGGGACTCATACTATACTTCTCTAACCATTGTGTTCTTTGTAACCAAATCTCTCTCAGAGGAGCGTGGGGAGGGGCTCCTTATTTTCATCTAAAGTAACAGACCGAGAATCAGCACTTTGGAAACAGGGCTGAAACAGAGGGGATTATGGGTAATGCTGCAATGATCTGTTTGGTGTTTCAGCCAATCAGAGACAGGTTCTGTATATATCTGAGACCTGGAATATATTGATGAAAAACAGTATAATAGGGGACCTTTAACTAAGAAGCATGCGTAAAAAAAATATTTAGGATAAAAAAATTACACACTTTACAAAATACACATCCTGTAACAGTTCTGAAGATATAGCCGCCAGGTACATATTGCACATATTGCACATAGTTGGTATATATAATATATATGTCACTGTTGAAGTTAATCCCCTCTCCTCCTCCATTGTTTTGTCTCTTCTCTTCCAGCTGGTGCTGTTCTCAGGGAAGCTCAACACCATCGCCAGTATTGTGACCATCTTCTTCCTGCTGGTGTACGCCGCCGTGGATCTGGCCTGCCTGGCTCTGGAGTGGGCCTCTGCTCCCAATTTCAGGTACAAACCATCCCTCATAATGAAGGCCTATAGCCAACACCCTGGGGTTCATACACAGGCGAACATATTCCCCACTAAACACTCCATTGTTTATGTGTGTGTGTGGAGCTGGTTGTGAGCCAGCTGGATAGAAGGTGTACTAATTAAGGACATAAAACTGGCCCCTGCCTATAGCCCCATATTGGAGAGGGAGTGACAATAAAACTGTGTGTGTTTGTTTTGTGTGCCCCGCCTGAACGCCATGCTCAAGTAGATGCTGGAGATTTAAATTGACTATGTGTGTGTGTGTGTGTGTGTGTGCATCAGGGTGGTGTTTGTATTCCTGGGACACTCACAATGATCCTGATTTACAAAGCCTCCCTGCGGCCGTGTTCACAGCAACATAACCTGAGGACAGCGTGCCGTGTGTTTGTCGTTTTTATGACTTATTCTATATTTTCTGTGTGAGGCGGAGACGGCGTCACAGACATCTTGTCCCAAAATCGAATAACTTTTCTTTTAAAGACATGCCTGCCTTGATGAAACTCCCCCACTGGCTGGGAAACACATTTAAAATATGACAAGTGCTACTTTTTGATTTGTTAAGGAGCAGAGAAACTGTTAAAACACCCTTCATCACTTTAATGACTGATTTTGTAGTCCGTTATATCTCCTCTTCAGCAAATTTGATGTACATATTTTTAGCTTTTAGTCAATCAAGATACAGCAACAGACAGTGTACTGTACATCCGAGAAAACAGTGTAGTTGTCTCTCTGAAATATTGATTCTCTGCACAACGGGGTTGTTTAGGTTGTTGTGCTTCTGAATATTTTGTTGGATGATGTAAGTCAATTTCATTTATAGTTGCATTCTGTGTTAACGCCTCTCTGAAACCATCTGAAAAATATGACCAATAGAATGATTTCCTCTGTATTTCCATATATTTGGATATTCCCCAAATATATACAGGATAATATAGTGTCTATTATAGACACTATAGGCAGTAGTATACATTGGAATACATAGCAGACCAGTATAGACACTTTGTATATATAATATGAACATATATCGGGACCCCCTTGTAAACGAGATGGTGCATCTCATGGGGTTTATTCTAATAAATACATGTCTGTAAATATGAGTACGCTCCAGAAGTTGCATGAAGTTGCTGTACGTGATCATGTCTCATTTTACATTCGTACAAATACAATGCACTACTTTCAACAAGAGCCACAAGAGGGCGCTGTCAGTAACAGTGTTTGCTTCATAATGAGTGATACACATGGTAACTAACTTTGTGTACAGCAGTGTTTCTCTGCTCACGCCTCCTGACAAGTGCAGTACATAGCAAATTTGTTTTGGACCAGATGGATCAAAGAATATCTACCACTTTTGCAAGAAAGACAGCAATGGAATCGCATTAAGATAATCTTCATAACTGGAGACATCGTATTAATTATGGATTAAAAATGCACCTTGTGGATCCTGGGTAATGACAAGAGTTATGGAGACTTCTTAAGACAAAAGCCAACACGCTGGAAAGACCAATAAGCTAAATATGCCTACTGGTGCCTGCCTTAGAATAGGAAAACAACTGAAGATAGACAATGAAGACCCCCTGTCTATCTCAAGTGTTCAAATGGAATATGAAGACTGACTTTTGTCTGGCTCTTTTTGGATTTAGTTTATTGTTGAACGAATATCGGGACCCCCTTGAAAACAAAATGGTGCATCTCATGGGGTTTATCATAATCTGTAAATATGATTACACTACAGAAGTTGCATAAAGTTGCTGTATGTCAGGGGTGTCAAACTCAAGGCCCGGGGGCCAAATCCGGCCCGCGACTTCATTTTATGTGTCCCCACAAGAGCTTGCAAAGAATATAATATGTTTATTATACGGTTACATGCTACTTTAGAGAAGCACGTTGCCCATAAACTACATGTCCCACAATGCATCTCAAATTTGACTTTTTCTCAGAATTTGACTTTTTTTGTCCAAATATGCCTTTTGTCTTAGAATTAGCCTTTTCCTCATAAATAGATTTTTTTTTCAAAATGTCACTTCTCTTTTTCAAAATGTCACAATCAATGTTTTTCCAGAATGTGGCTTTTCTTTTAAAATCATATTGTGACATTCTTACTGAAGAGACTTGCAATTATTTGCTCTAGACTTCTGCTTTCAGACGTAGTTAATTATGAAGTTATATTAATTAATGATATAGTCTTAAAGTTACAACCGGCCCTTTGAGTGCAACCATAATGCTGATGTGGCCCGTGATGAAATTGAGTTTGACACCCCTGCTGTTCGTGGTCATTTTAAATCGTACAAATGTTAATATGCACTACTTCCAAAGGCCACAAGAGGGCGCTGTCAGTATCAGTCTGCAGTGTTTGCTTTATAATAAGAGTGATACACATGGTGACTAACTTTGTGTCCAGCAGTGTTTCTCTGCGCCTCCTTATCGCTGCGTGACCGCTGGCAGAGAACTCAAAGTTACTAAAACTTTTCCTCTCTCTGCCCCCTGTGGGTCTGGGGACCCCCGGAGCTGATAAGGCGGCTTGTTTTCTGGCCGCTCGCCACGCTTTGGGCCTCCTTTCCTCCTCCCCTGAGCGGCTAATTCTGTCGGCTCATTGTTGCTGTGTCACTGGGAACATTTCAAACCAGTTGTTTGTGTTGTTTTTTTATGTTTTCATCTCGCTCTGTGTCTGGCTCTCTCCCACGTCTCTTTCCAGGCAAAAGGAATTAAAAGCCATTTAGCGACCCCCCCCCCCCCCCCCCCCTCCTGAGTACCGCTCTGTAATTAGCATAACTAATTTAGCAGAAATATTTCTCTTTCCCTTCAATGTGCTGTTGTGCCGAGCAGGGGAGGGATTGAAATTATGATGTAGCGGAAAAGATGTCTGCTTGTTAAGTGTGGTGTGTGTGTGTGTGGGTGCGTGTGGGTGTGTGTGTGTGGGTGCGTGTGGGTGTGTGTGCGTGTGGGTGTGTGGGTGTGGGTGTGTGTGTTTGCACATAATAAAACAGGAGAGTGAAGGTATGTAATTTGGAGTCTGTGTTTGTGAGATCAAAGTCACGCTGGATGATTTTTTTCTGATTGTTGATCGTGTGTGTGAGTGTGCATCTGTCCCGGGCATCTGTGAGTGTGAGGGTTTTCCTTCAGTTAAGTGTGTTTGCATGTGTGTGTGTGTGTGTGTGTGTGTGTGTGTGTGCGTGTGTGTGTGTGTGTTGGCTACAGCTTTATCAGTAGAGGCTGCAGCTGTGAGCAGATCCTCGGGGGGGCTGTGTGTCCTGATGCTGATGCTACTTGTACTGGTATAAACACGTATGAACAACCACACACACACACACACACACACACACACACACACACACACACACACACACACACACACACACACACACACACACACACACACACACACACACACACACACACACACAGTAGCACAGGGTCACTGGCCAGGATTCAGGACACAACTTCCCAATGAGGGTGTGAGTGGAGAGCAGAATGACCTTCAATCAACAACTGGCAGCGAATCAGAAACTTTCACCAGCTCGGTGCCATGTGACGTCCAAATTACAGCGGCTCTGATGATCTGTGGAATAATGACCAGCTGAACCATTAACTCCAAAAACAAATAAAATGCTGTCCTCTGCAGAGGAGGGAGAAGTACTCAGATCGTGTACTTGAGTAAAAGTAGAAGTACTCAGATCTTGTACTTGAGTAAAAGTAGAAGTACTCAGATCTTGTACTTGAGTAAAAGTAGAAGTACCAGAGTGTAGGAATACTCTGTTACAGTAAAAGTCCTGCATTCAAAATGTTCCTCAAGTGAAAGTAGAAAAGTATTATCATCAAAATATAGTGAAAGTAGCGACAGTAAAAGTAGTCGTTGTGCAGATTGGTCCATTTCAGAATAATATATATGATATGTTTTATAATGATTGATCATGAAAGTGTTCTCAAAGCTGGTAAAGGAGCAGCTAGTTTGAATGACTTTGTATACTGCAGGGTAGCTTGTGGATTTACTCCAGGTGGAACTAAAGTCTGATTTAACACTTGATTATATTTCACATCATTCATCCACATCTGTGAAGTAACTAAAGGTATTAAATACATGTAGTGGAGTACAAGTACACCGTGTACCTCTGAACTGTAGTGGAGTAGAAGTACTAAGTAGCATAACATGGAAATACTCAAGTACAAGTATCTCAAAATGTTACTTAAATACAGTACTTGAGTAAATGTACTTCCCACCACTGGTCCTCTGTGACCCTGTCCTTTGTCCGAATATGAGTCAGCATGATTTGACAGATTGGAGTGTGTAAAAATCCAGATGGATCATCAACTGCGTCTGAATTTATGAGAGAAAATAGAGCCTCATTACGTGTTAATGATGGAGGGTGACATGATGTGATTACCTGGCAGTGATGATCATATTGTCACACAGTTAGGCTGGTTCATTTAGGTCATTATAGTTGTGCAAACATAAAATCTTGGGCTAATGTTGGCCTATAAAGGAACTACAGCACGGTCACATGACTTCACATCACCACCGCTAACCTAAAGGTGGCTAATGTTGGGCTATAAAGGAACTACAGCACGGTCACATGACTTCACGTCCCCACCGCTAAGCTAAAGGTGGCTAATGTTGGGCTATAAAGGAACTACAGCACGGTCACATGACTTCACGTCCCCACCGCTAAGCTAAAGGTGGCTAATGTTGGGCTATAAAGGAACTACAGCATGGTCACATGACTTCACGTCACCACCGCTAAGCTAAAGGTGGCTAATATTGGGCTATAAAGGAACTACAGCACGGTCACATGACTTCACGTCACCACCGCTAAGCTAAAGGTGGCTAATATTGGGCTATAAAGGAACTACAGCACGGTCACATGACTTCAGATCACCACCGCTAAGCTAAAGGTGGCTAATATTGGGCTATAAAGGAACTACAGCACGGTCACATGACTTCACGTCACCACCGCTAAGCTAAAGGTGGCTAATGTTGGGCT